CCTTCACTGTCTGCCAACCACAAGGAGAAGCCTTCCTAGAAAAACAAATATATTAATATATATATATATATGTTTGTCAAGTCAATTCACCTTTATTTATATAGCGCTTTTAACAATGCAGATTGTGTCAAAGCAACTGCACAGAATTAATTAGGAAAATAGTGTCAATAATGCACAGTGATAATAGTACACACTAATTTTTCAGTTAAAGGCAGTTCATCATTGAATTCAGTGATGTCAACATCCAGCTCAGTTCAGTTTAAATAGTATCTGTGCAATCATTTGCAATTAAGTCGACAATATCGCTGGAAATGAAGCTAATGAAAATGTTGCTCATTAACATCAATAAATCAAAAGATTTGTGTAAAACATGTTGCTGCAGCAAATATAAACTCACCAGGTGCCGAGCTGCTATTCAGTGTTGTTCAGCCCTTCTTCCACTTTGGTAATATAATGAAAATGCTCCTCCATGTTGCAGCTGCATCAGCATGTTACCTGTAGTGGAGGCACGCGACTTGTGTGTTCTTTCCCTGAAAATTTTTATTTGCTAATTCTTACAAAAGGGCTTTGTTTTGCAGATGTTTATAGCACAGCAATGAAGTAAAAATCAAAGTGAACTGCATGAGCAGAACGCACGTAACACCTAAGAAACACACACTGCACACTATAAAAGAGAGTTGAATAATCTTCATTCATTCTGTCAGTAAAATGCTGCATGAAATCTAATTGGCTGAGAGGGAACTGCAGCTGGAATTCTTTTGACAATCATAGATGGATCTTTAATTTCGTTACAATTTAATAATATTTAGCAATATTAATCAAATGTATATTAGAAATGGCTGGAATTGGGGTGCTTGGATGATTTGTACAAATAAATAACCCAGTCTGTCTAACTGGTTGGTCAAACCTCTCGGAGCGATTTATCTAAAAACAGCATCTTATTGTCAGGGGTGGTAAAGGAAGAGGAATCAGTTGCAGCGATAACAAGGATTTTATTGAGATTCAAAACAAACAGGAACGAAGCCACTGTCCGAGAGGGTAATCTGGAGAGATCCCAACCAGGTCCGGGGAAGAGAAAGTCAGCTCAACAGCAGGTATCTAGGAAAAGGGGGTTGCCAGAGCAAATGGCCGCAAGTAACAGTCCACGAGCAACGAGACAGTCTAGCCCTCCAAGTAATTCCAGGGGCCAGAGAATGGCGATGGTGGGAGGGAGAGGGAGAGGAACTCCAGGAGGGAGCAGGGAACGCTGGGCAGCGAGGGGAAGGAGGCAGGAGGCAGACAGAAAGGAGTCCAGCAGCCAGGGCAGATGGGGGGCTGGAGAGGGCAGAGGGGAAGGGGAAAAAAACAAACACAAAACTAAATGGCTGGAGCTAAAACTAGGAACTAGGAACTAGAAAGAACTGGGCTGGATCAAAAGAAAACCCCTAATATCAAAAGCAAAATAAAAGCTAAGGAAAACAGGCTAACAGTCAACAGCGACAAGAGCCAGGTTAACTCAGCAGAGCAGAGATTTCGATCTGGCACTGGACAGAAAACGAGGGGAATATAAGGGTGACTACTGATTAGAAACAGGTGTACCCCTAACGAGATAAGATAATGAGAGGGGCGGGGTAACAATAGACAATAGAGCACATGGCAACATAATTACCAACTGACAGCCATGTGCTCCAGACAGACCAGAGCTGCGTCCGAAATCGCATACTTCCATACTATATAGTAGGCGAAAAACAGTATGCGAGGCGAGTAGTATGTCCGAATTCATAGTATTCGAAAAACAGTAGGCGAGAAGTACCCGGATGACCTACTACTTCCGCCCGAATTCATTCTCTCCCTCTCTCGCTCTATTTATCCAATTGTGTATTATGTATTCATTCATGTTTATTCATTGATTCATGTCTTTTGATTGTCCTGTGTATTTTTATGCCTTTATTTATAACAAATTACTTTATTTCGTTGCTCCAAATGAGCCTCTGTCATGGTGTTCACAGACATGACTTTTTATTCTGAGGTAAAATTTGCTAGCTAAATAGGTGATTGTACTTACCTTATTTGATAAATGATTTACAAGCTGTCGACGAAGGCGTGATCTTTTATTTATTTAGTCATTTATTAGAGCGCTTTTATCCAAAGCGACTTACAACCGAGGACACCAGAAGCAATCAATTGTAGTATTAAAACAACTAAAAGCTAAAACTATAAATACTACCTATACACATTTTAAAAATATATATGTGTATGTACAACCACACACACACACACATATATATATATACACATTTATAAATTCAATATATATTTCATTTCCATTTAGTTTGCTGAAGTATTAAAATAACTCCAATTAAATAAAACTAAAAACTTAAAAGACCTATACAGACATAATAAATTCAGACATA